CCCCGAATATATGCCTACCCAAATATAAACCCACTCGTTTATCACTATTACCACTATTTATCACTATTATTACTATGCTTGTTTAACACTTGCTCATCACTATTACTATACTTAGCTTGTTTTTCACTATTACACTAACACAAAAGATTGTCCATGTATAAGCCCCCCTGTATATAACACCCCCCCCCCCTTCCCCTTGTGTAAGCCCATCAAAAATCGCTTACGAAACAATATAAGCCCAGGGCTTATAGTCGGAGGTTTACGGTATTGTCCTTATCTTTAATAACTAGAGCGTAGTACGACTATTTCTGTGAATGTTTCTATACACTATACGGTAAACCTTAGGTGCAAGAACTCGTTAAAAAGTTGAATTTTAGAATATAAGTTTCTAATTTACTATATACTTCATATATGACATACATAAGCAATGCTGTAAAGTATAATATAAATAAATTTTTCAATAGATTATTTTAATTGTTTTTTAATATTCGGTATTGCTAAAATAGCACTAAAGTCGAGTGTTATTTTAACACCAAGGTTAGAGTGCTAAAACAACACCGAAATTGGTGTTACTATGACACCAAAAACAGGGTTATTTTAACACCTTTCCAGGTGCTAATTTGACACCCTACAAAGTGGTGTTAAAATAGCACCCGAAAATGTGTTATTTTGTACCTTTTTATTTGACATCATTTTTAGTGTTATTTTAACACCTTCAAATTAACAGTGTATATATATATATATATATATATATATATATATATATATATATATATATATATATATATATATATATATATATATATATATATATATATATATATATTTGTATATATATATATATATATATATATATATATATATATATATATATATATATATATATATATATATATATATATATATATATATATATATATATATATATATATATATATATATATACACACAAGGCTTATCAATATAAAGACTTATCAATATATACAAATAGCTGGGGAGAAAGCTGATAAGTCAAGACTGCTCAAATAACAATCATGCAACGAAGCTCGATCGCTGAGTTAAAGATGTCGTGGTCAGGAGACTTTGAATCACTCAAACGGTTTGTCAAAGAGTCGTTAAACATTGTCGGGACATGGTCTTCGCCTGGCGGAGAGAAAAGGTTATTCTCAAGAAGTGATGTTAACATACAATGGTGGAAAAAAAAAATTTTTAGCTGTTGACGGTCTAGAGGCAAGTAAAGTCATTCGTTGTCTTTTAAATTTTATCGACAGTTCGTTCGCAGAACAGTGCTCCAATAACATTGAAGTTTCGTCTGATAAATACCAGTGTACCGGGGTGGAAATGGAAGGTGTAAAGTTAGATATCGTAATTTTAAAAGCTAAATTTAATAAACAATCGGACGCGCTTGAAAATTACACAACGAGATGGCCAGTCTTATTCAGTCTAAGCCTAAGGCAGCTGATCTGGGCGAATCGTTTACTGAAACCACACAGAATGGGGAAGATATTCCCATAGAGCATCTTCAAAATGACAAAATTCAGCGTTTAGAAGCAGACATTGCTATCTTAGTCAGAGGACGAAATTCCGAGGTAAATGAATTAAATAATATTATTGACACTCTTAACAAAAAGAATGAACTAAAACAAAGAGCAGCGACATATTCCATACATGTCATCGGACACAATGCATAGTAAGGATTTTGGGAGGAATCTAACCCCTGAGTGGATTGGTAGTTTACCATTAATCGAAATTAATGTACCCAAGCCTTCTAATCGTTCGTTTATTCGCGTTTAACAACAGCAAGCTAGCCAAAATCAAACAAACCAACCTAAAAGATCGGCAAGAAGTAAGCTCCCAATGCATGATCAGGATTTTTTTTGGAAACGGAAACGAGACTTAAATTGGCAAAATTACCTGACATTTGTTCGTGCGACAATGAGACAGTAAACACAATTCCTGTTATATTCGAAACGAATTAATAAGAAATATAATGTGCGATATCGACATAATCCCATCGGCCAAATAATTTAATTAAAATTCCTATTAAACACTTGCCGGGTTCCCAACATACGTTCGTTCCCTCCCTAATGCTATCTAATGTTATGTCATTGGTGCCCAAAATAGATGAATTACGCGAAGTTATCCTCAATAGTGATGTGGAAATAGCTTGTATTACCGAGACGTGGCTCAGAGATCATATCGATGATAACGTTGTTAATGTGTCAGGATTTAGGTTGGTTCGCCTTGACAGAATTAACAGTCAACACGGGGGAGTCTGTCTGTACGTAAGGAATAATATTCAATACAACATTGTACAAGACCTTTTAGACAGCAATTTTGAAATCGTCTGGGTTCATATTCGCCCTACTCGTCTTCCAAGGAGAATTCCCTGCATAATTATTGGAACGTTATACCATCCTCCAAGTGCTAACAATCAAGAGATATTAGATCATTTATTAAAATGTCTATCAACAATCGAATCTCGTTTTCCCAATAGTGG